GAGAGAGAGAGAGATCATGACGAGGATTTAGTATTATTTGATGCATCGAGCGCGATTTTCGGCAGCGGCATTCCGGGATTTCGGCAAGCGAAGTAGTCTCACGCGCAGTGTGGTCCGGGGTGTACGGTGGTGTACGGTGTACGCCGTGTGTTTCACCCTCTCCCCCCGGCCCTTCCCTCCCTCCCACCACGCAACGAAAACTTAAAAATGCCGCCGCAGCGCAACCCGAATCGATATTCGCCGGTGCAGTCACGTGGCACGGTTTCGAGCGGTGCGAACCAATAGACGAGCGTGACGAGCGGAGCTCGCTCCGCCTGTGCTCCACGGGGCGACGGCACGACATCTGCGTTTGGGTAGGCGGAACAACAGTCTGCGGCTGGTAGCGCACCGGTTCACAGCAGGCGATGTTCTGCTTTGCGGGCGGTCCACGCAAAGTGACCCCGACACGACACACATTGACGTACGACGACGGGCGTTCAACGGCAGCGGCGGCGATAACAAGAACGACAACGACGGCGGCGTCAACGATGAGAAAGATAGCGAAAGCATCACAACGTTACACGTGAACCAAGCACAGCGCGCGCTATCGCTTAATGCATATCGCTCCTTTTGGCACGCGTATATCAATGCGTGTGTCGTACGTGTGCTTTTGACGTCTGTGTGCCCTATCGCCCGCCGGAAGAAGCGCGCGGGGCCGCAATATATATATATATATATATGTGTATATATAAGCGACCCCATATTTATCCGTATATACCCGTCGCGATAGTGGTTGCTCGCGTGCAAAAAAGAGTTAGCCAATCGTCGCGGCCACGGAACAGAGTGAGAGAATAGAGGAAGTGACTGTGGTGTGCGCGACGGAGATCGAGAACGCGAGTAGTGCGAAGAGGCGAGGTGGGGCAGGCTGGAGCGCGTAAGAAGGAGAGGCAGAGCGAGGGAGCGAGATAGATACAACGGACGATAAAGAGAGGGACTTAGGCGCGAATAGGAAGGAGAGAAAGAAAAAGAGAGAGAGAGAGAGAGAGAGAGAAGAGAAGAGAAGAAGAAAGAG